TGCCCAGCCACAATATCTTTCTTAATTCAAGTTGGCCAGGCTGGTCTCAAACTCCTGACCTCATGATCTGCCCACCTTGGCCTCCCAAAGTGCTGGGATTACAGGCATGAGCCACCGTGCCCAGCCACAGTATCATCCAAGTTCTAAACTGGCATGCAGATGATCTCATGTTATACAGTGTGTTTAAATTGGAAACTTGTAGCTTCTATAGTTTAAATTTCAACGGTTAGTCAACAGGTTAGAGGAGAACACGCACTAGAAATCAGCATAATAGTCAAAGAGAGATAGTCTTACTAACGTATCAGCCTGTGTGTGGCATTTTCAGCACCTGCTCTGCATCCCCTTACATTTTGGATGTTATAGGCAGAAAGTATTCTGCATACTCACATGTGTTTACATAATCTCTGTATATCTCAGTTTCCTTATCTGTAAGCAAGTTAATAGTTGCCAGATATTGTGTAATCTGAAAATGAATTTTACTTGTATAAACACTTTTAAATATTCTTAAAGGGTTTTTACATCTTTGCCTTTCTTTCAGATTTCTAGCATTTTCCCCACATATGTGCAATGTGAATATGTATTGATCATTCTTGAATTAGATCATTCTGTTTGAATTAGATCATATCTTGTGAATTTTGCAAGTTCAATAGAAGAACAAATCTGAGTGCCCAGAAATCCATCCTCACTTTTGGAAAAGCAGTTTGGAATATATCTTATTGATGGTGGGGCAGGAGGGTAGCACTCATATCTTAAGAAATTAAGGCAATGAGTCATATTTTATAAACGCTACCACTGATATTATGCCAAACAGAACTAAGGCCACATTTCAGCCTTGCATCTGAGAGTGATACTGCTGATCAAGAAGACTTGGATGTAGAAGATGACCATGAGGAACAGCCTTCAAATCAAACTGTCCGAAGACCTCAGGCTGTCATTGAAGATGCCGTGGCTACCTCAGGCGTGAGCACGCTTAGTTCTACTGTGTCTCATGATTCCCAGAGTGCTCACCGGTCACTGAATGTACAGCTTGGAAGGATGAAAATAGAAACCAATAGGTAAGTCCTACACTGAAATGGGTTGGTTTCTATTCTTTTACTTTTACTAAAGAGCATGTGTTTTTGGTCTACAGAATATGATTCCCATATCCCATTCGTGGAAACTTGATTGAATGCCTTTCTTTATAAAACAAGAGAGGTTTAGTTTAGCCTCTTTTGTCAAATACCACTTTCTGCCTCTACCAATTTAAGCCTTTTTCAGCAGCATTTGATTACTTCTTCATCTCCAAGTGCCCTAAGATTTTTCCAGTAGCTTTGTTATAGCCTCATGGACTGTCTAAGAAACAGGCTCAGAGCAGCATGTACCTTCCGGTAGATAGCTGAAAGAATAGAAAGCTCATGTTTTTGAAAGCCCAGTCAAGTTCTTATAGGAGAGGAAGATTACTGAGGTCGAGGGAACAAAACTAATTAATGGTGCTAAAGATTTGTATTTTAGAACCTAAAAAGGAAGATAGTTGACCACATTTATGATTCTATTTTGTTTTTGATATATTATAACATATCTGGAGTATAATTTGCCTTTGATAATTTGGTAGCATAGAACCCACAAGATCAGATTATTAAGTTAACAGCAAATGTTTCCTGTTCTTCGCAGATGTTGTTGGTACAGTTCAAGGTCTGAATTTTTATGATTTGTAGCTTCCTGTGCTGCCTACAGTTGACATGTGGGAAACTAACTTTATTACTCTGGGTTTGCATTAAAAACTTTTTTTTAAGTGAATCAATAACAGTTGTTCAAATATTTAGAAACCTTAATTGAAAATTCTAGTTGTTCACCAGGGAGATTAAAAATATCTTATTTCCAGTCATAAAGTTTAGGTTTTTAAAGGCAGGCTTGTATACCAAAATGAGTACAAGTGGTGAAAGCTCATCCTATATTCAGAAACATGAGATTTGGTTGCATGGTTAAGTAAATCCGTATAGACACATCTTCTATGATGTGCACAGAGCAGTCTTATTTTAATAAAGGGAGTTGCCTCTTTGACTTTCATGTCCCAATTTTGTTCTCTGAAACCCAGTTCTTGCCATCTCTACTATTTAGTGGGAAAGAACTTGGGTCTTTTCTCTTCTGAGACTTCATGGAAATCTTGGTTTCCCTCATTCCTCCTCTTCTCAAGCAAGAGTCCAAGGATAACACCCCATCATTATGGAAGTTGTCTGATAGTCACTTATCTCTAGGTTACTCTCTGTTGCCCAGTCCTGAGTGGTGGTGCTTTTTGGACTCCTGCTGTGATCTCTGGAGGAGGAAAGTTCACTCATTACTGTTTTGGTTGACCCCTTCCCACCCACGACTTCTGGTTAGAATTACACAGATAGTAAAGCTACTTTGTTTACCAAAGAGCTGGTACATCTGCTTTTCTGGTCCTGAAACCTCCTGTCTACACACCTGGCAATGTCAATAGGACCTGCCTCTCCTAATGCAGCCTAGACACAACTCCTTTTCCTTCTCTCCTTGGCCTATTTGCTTAGCATTGTGCTCACCACCCTGGCGCCACTGTCTGTCTACCACGCTTGGGCCATCTGCAGTTCCTGAGGGCTTCCGGCCGCTTTCTTCACAGCTTCCTCCTTTCTCTTCTGAGGGTCTCTTTGTTCTAGCTGAGGGCCTGCTTCTCACATCTGCCCATCTCTGTTGAAAAGACTAGCATTTACCCACATTTCTTTATTACATTAGTACGTAACTGCAGTTTTCACAACAACTCACACATTTTTGCTTTTTCCTCTACATATTTACATTTGAATCTGTGAAATCTACAGATAATCAGCCTCGTTTTTCCTTTTTCAGTAATATCTCCCACGGCTCTCCATCACCCGCAGAAAAGTGACATGAGGGACGATGTTTGCTTCATCCTTGATTTGAAGAAAGGCCAGCAGCTTTAGTACAAAAACCAAGTAATCGAAATAAGGGACCAGTCCTGTCCATGTTGGTCCTTCTAATTTTCAGTTGAATACTACCTGAAATATAAAGGCATACCTACTGCAAAATGAATCTAGAGGAAATGTTACTGTGTTTTTAGGAAAGGTTGTAGCTCTCATATTAAAAATTGTAAGCTTAGAATATTTAGGATGATCACTGATGAAGGGAAATCAGGTTTATCCTGCTCGGAGGATCACCTGAGCCCAAGAGGTTGAGGCTGCAGTGAGCCATGATTGCACCATTGCGCTCCAGCCTGAGTGATACAGCAAGACCCTGTCTCAAAAACAAAAACAAAAACAAAAACCTATCTCAAGAGGAGCTGCCTGTTTATCTAATTTCCCCATCCTGCAGTTCTGGAATTACCCACCAATCCACCTCACCACTCCTGCCCATCCAAGGTTAAAAATTGACCTCATGGCAGATCTTGCCATACTTTTTTGGAACAGAAAGGCAGACAGTTGCCTTGATTTCAAAATATTGCACTACTAAATAAACACAAAGTAAAAATAAAATTGATATACTGGATTGTTCTTAAGATAAATACCTCTAAGAGCTGGATTTGGAGCAAATGAGGTGGGCTGTCAATACTCTGCTTCCAGTGTTAAAGTTCTGGTGTTTAAGGTGTTAAAGGAAAGCTTCAGACAAATTAAATTTAATGGAGTTTAATTGAACAAGAAAAAAATAATTTGTGAATCAGGTGGCCTCTAGAATCACGGCAGATTCAGAGAGACTTCAGGGATGCCTCATGGCCAGAACAAATTTACAGAAAATAAAAGTAAAGTGACGTTCAGAAATCAGAAGTGTACAGAAAGAGCTAGATTTGTTATGGGTTGGTGTTCACCTTATTTGAACACTCAGCAGTGTATGAGTGGTTGAAGTATGGCTCCTGGGATTAGCCAAGACTCAGCTATGGTTACAGACGCACACTCCTAAGTTAGGTTTTCAATCTTGTCTACCTGTTAAGTTATAGTTTGTCCACAAGGACTCAAATATGCAAGTACAGAGTCCTTCTCAGTCCACATTTCATTCACTTTAACAAAAGATAAAAGGAAATTACATAGTCTAGACAAACATAGGTTAAACTCTAGAAAATGTCACTTTGTTCGTTGAGAAAACAGTAAGAAGATACCATCACCATCCTATACATATAAATTAGCAAGTAGGACAAAAATACATACCAAATCAAAAAACTGCCAACTTAAACATTCACACGGAGCTTGCTGCCCATTTCTTTGGATATCATTTGTTTTGGACTAGATAAGAAGGCTCCCTCCAACCCTCTGCTCCCTCTGCTAGCTTTTAGTTCATGCTGCTTCATCCACCTCATTGTGCACCACACTTACCCTGCAGCTGTCTTTGTTAAACTATTTTCCTCCACCCACCTTCTCTGTCTACCTCTCATTGTGTTTTACTTTTGTCCCACCTCTGCTACTTACTCAGCTGTGATCCCTTCTCCTATCTGAGGATCTCATCTTTATGTCCTGTGGGAATTGGGTTGAGCCTGGGGGTCTGGGCAGGTTTCCTTCCCACTGAGCCCTGGAAAGGCTGTTTTCCAGGGACTGAGGCAGCAAGGAACAGAACAGCCCTTATTAAAGACCAGACACTGACTTGGCACTGTACCTATGCTGTCTCATTTAATGCTTACATACTGGAAGCTTTAGTTTTCTTTTTTACAAACAATTTGAAAACTGAAGCCTGGAGGCATTAGGTAATTTATCTAAGGTTAACACAGGAAGTGCAGGGCTGAACCAGGACACAAGCCCAGATCTGTCAGTTGCACGATGCTGCCTTCAGAGTATGTCAAGTGAAGCAGAAACAAACTTTTCGATGGAACTTGGTCTTGAGTTAAATCTATCAATACTCAGAAAATGAAACAAATAGAGCTTGTTAAGAGCTGTAGGTTATGCAGTGATTTATCTCGATAATCTTAATAATGATATATTTTAAATTATTATTTGTGAATCCAAGTTATACTAAGATACTTTTCTAAAAAATTAGAGCACCACTTTTCATAACTTGGAATGTTTTCTTTGAGAAATTCTATTGGAAATGGTGAGTAGATTACCAGTTGGCTCTCAGTTGCATAGCAAACCTTCTGTGGGTAAGAACTTTGGTATGAATATCACAGTTTCTCCTTGTTTCTTTGGAGACTGCATCAGATGCCAACTAGGAACTGAATGTACCAGGAACACAGCTATCCTTTTACCCGCTTCACCCCCTCCCCCTTAGAAGGGAGAGGACTAATAGTAACAATCACAATGGTAGCAACAACCATGAACATTTATTGAGAATTTGGTATGTGCCAGATATTCTAGGCGACCTCACCTATGACTATTTCTCAAATTTTCATAGTTTACAAAAAGTGATTACCTTTCTGATTTGCATTGATTATGGTATTATGCACACTTGCCAACTTTTTTAATGGGTGTCCATACATGTAAAATATAGGTCTGTTAATATCTGTATCCCATATTTATATTTTTGATATTTATGGTCATGAAAAGAAATAGCAGAACACATCTCTGAAGATTTTGGCAGACAATCTGTGGTGGAGGTTTTCAGTTCTTGTCTGCAGGCACAGTCTTCCAAAGCTTTGCTTCTGGACACGGGGGTCTGTGGACCTGCGACATCAGTGTCACTTGTGAGCTCATTATAAATACAGTCTCAGAACTCACTCCAGGGGCACTGGACCGGAATCTGTATTTCAATAAAATCAGGGGTATTTGTGCTTATTATAGCTCATGTCTAGAAGGTCACCCTAGACCTAGCACAATGGCACGTGCACACACCTATAATCCCAGAGCTTTGGGAGACTGAGGTGGAAAGACCATTTGAGGCCAGGAGTTCAGAGAACAACTTGGACAACATAGCAAGACTCTGTCTCTACAAAAAAAAAACAACTCAAATTAGCCAGGCATGGTGGTGCATGCCTGTATTCCCAGCTGCTTGGAAAACTGAGATGGGAGGATCGCTTGAGTCCAAGGGTTTAAGGATGCAGTGAGCTATAATCGGGCCACTACACTCAGCCTAGGCAACAGAGAGAGACCTTGTATCTAAAAAATAAAAATAAAAATAGGTCACCCTGTGTCACCTAATATATTTTTCTTCTGCAGATTACTGGAAGAATTGGTTCGGAAAGAGAAAGAGTTACAAGCACTCCTTCATCGAGCTATTGAAGAAAAAGACCAAGAAATTAAACACCTGAAGCTTAAGTCCCAACCCATAGGTGAATAGCAGAAAATTTTATTGTAATACTGTTCAGCCAGGCTGCCACAAAAAACCAAGCAAGCCAACACGAAGTTTTATTTGTGGCTAAGTCAGCATTTGTCACTTCTACCATGACTGCAAGCAGGAATTCCTTTAAAAAGAGAAATCTAATTTTTAACTCTAGCAAACTCATTTCTATAAGTACAGTAAAAATAGATTATTCATAATCATCTTTTCCTGAGATTACGTATTCTTGAGGTAAATAGGGTTCTCCGTGTTTTTAATCTTCCTTTATTTTTAAAGATTTCACAATATTACTAGAATAAATAATACTATTTTTTGTCATTTTGCATCTATGTTCTGTGTATTCTAGCTTTTTTCCTTTTAATTTGAAGAGGCTTAAATAGAATAAAGATGTAGTAGTAAAAAGGCATAGGTGGGGAGAATGTTATTTAGCCCATTTAGAGGATAACAGAATTCTCAGTTATTTGTTTAGATATATGGCTCTTTCATAGTAGAAAAAGATTATGATCATTATATAGTTCTCTGCTAATTGTGTTCGTCTTTATTGCATGAAAAACACAGAGTATAATTTTGGTGCACAGAGTTTATTCTAAGAAACCATAAAATTGATATGAAAGTATAACGTAGGAGTATCATTTCATTATTGCTTTTGCTCCTTGTTTACTGGTAAATTCACTTGTCTGAGTTTTATTCATATGATCATTTATACTGCCAAACTCAACTGTTTCTATGAACTGTTCTCTGATAGAGCAAAATCTTTTAAAGTATCAATAAATGTCTGTTGATTGTGAGGGTCTCAGATGACCTCTATTAGGTGAAACTAAGAATATCTTCCCACAATTCTGTTCTAGAAATTCCTGAACTGCCTGTATTTCACCTAAATTCTCCTGGCACAAATACTGAAGATTCTGAGCTTACCGACTGGCTGAGAGTGAATGGAGCGGATGAAGACACTATAAGCCGGGTAAAGAAAACTGTCTGTGGGACAAGTATTCTTTCACTTCATTTCATAATGTTGGGTGCCTGCTATGTGACAGGCACAAGGGAGACACTGGTAAGCAAATCAGACCCAGCCTTGCCCTCCTGAGGCTTACAGACCAAGGTAGGCATGTGATAATCAGCTAACTCCACAGATACAAATGTGATTCTACACTGGTAAATTCTGTGAAGAAAAAGGTATCAGGTGTTATTAGACAGGGAGAGAGAGAGGTTGGGGAAGATTCTTGGAGAAGGGGATGAAAGAGCTGAAGGCTAACAGAATATGAGGGAGTAAATAGGCCAATTGTATGTATGTTCGGGAGGGGTGTGGGAGGGAGACCAGGGAAGAACCTTGTGCAGTGGGGCTGCAGTGTGTACAAAGACAGTGAGGCAGGCAAAAGCTCTGTGGTCCTGAGCCCCTTAGGAATTTAATATGTTTGAAATGAGAACCACAAAGAGTGGGAAAATAATAAAGATAGAATTTTAAAAATTCTTGTTTCTAATTCTTTGTATGTTAATATTTTATTTTATTTTATTTTATTTTATTTTATTTTATTTTATTTTAGAGACAAGGTCTCGCTCTGTTACCCTGGCTAGAGTGCAGTGATCATAGCTCCCTGCAGCCTTTGACCTGCTGGGTTCAAGTGATCCTCCCACCTTAGCCTCCTGAATAGTTGGGACTATGGACATAAACCATCATACCAGCTAATTGAAAAAAAAAATTTAGAGAAAGGGTCTCACTATGTTGCCCAGGCTGGTCTTAAACTCCTGGCCCCAAGTGATTCTCTCACCTCAGCCTCTCGAAGTATTGGGGTTACAGGCACGAACCACCATGCTAGGCCTGTTCGTTAAATTTTTGATTCTCTTTCAACATTATTAGACTCCACTAGGCAGCAGCTATTTTATTGCTACTTAATGAAATGAATCTAGTCGACTTATTTCAGAAATATTTTCTACACAAACCATATTTTACCTATAATAATCTAATTCCTTTGTGCGCCATATAGACTTTTTTTTGATTTTGTTTTTTGAGACAGAATCTCACTCTGTCGCCCAGGCTGCAGTGCAGTGGTGCGATCTCAGCTCACTGCAACCTTCGCCTGCCAGGCTCAAGTGATTCTCCCGCCTCAGCCTCTCAAGTAGCTGGGATTACAGGCATATGCCACCATGCCCGGCTAATTTTTTGTATTTTTAGTAGAAACAGGTTTTCACCATATTGGCCAGGGTGGTCTCAAATTCCTGGCCTCAAGTGATCCACCCACCTCAGCCTCCCAAAGTGCTGAGATTACAAGCGTGAGCCACTGCATCTGGCCCCTATAGACTTTTGTAATGAGCGTGAATAGCATTTATGTTCATTATATGAACACACAGGCATACATTAAAAGATTGTAATATTTGATAGAGGGGCCCTCTTAATACAATATTGTTTTAATTTGTTTTATATTTAAATTTTTAAAATAAATAAGAATAAAGATATCTCTTCTTTTGACTTGATAATTTATTACCTAAGAGAATTTCGGGCCGCCTTGGAAATCTACATTTAACAAGTTACAGCTGAATAAATTTAAACAACTCCAGAATATACATTCCTCTAACTTAGGCTCAAATCCCAATTACGGAATAGTTATTGATAATCTACTAAATAATTGCCCTTTCTTATTTGATTTCAAAGCTTCAGGCCAGGTGCAGTGGCTCCCGCCTACTATCCCAACACTTTGGGGAGCATAGGCAGATTGCTTGATGCCAGGTGTTGGAGATGAGGCTGGTCAATATAGTGAGACTTTGTCTCTC